ATATTTTTTCCATTGACATTTAGAGAGAGTGGAAGGGAGGGAGGGGGAGAGAGGAAAGTGGGGGAAACATCATGTGAGAAAGACGCATTGATTGATTGCCGCCTGCAAGTGCCCTGACTAGGGAAGAACCAGAGATTGAACCTGCAACCCAGGTATGTGCCCTTTACTAGGAATTGAACCCATGAACCTTCAGTCCGAAGGCCGATGCTCTAACCACTGAGCACCCGGCCAGGGCTCCGTTGTCTTCTTAACCTTCCTCTTCTATTCAGGAATTTATGGGCATGAAAACATGTTAATGTCCAATCTTATACAACATCTTTGTCTATAAAGTCTAGTCTGTATGTAAACATTAGGTATATTTAAGCATTGGCTATGATGCCACTTGTAAGATGGGATTCTAGAGGTAGCTGATTCATTAAGCACTAAGTAGTGTAATAGTAGTTGGTGTCTGTTACACCTGTGAGATAATGAGTTTCTTTCCAATCCTATTTGCAAATACAGTGGGGCTTTGACTTACGAGTGTCCCGACTAACGGGTTTTTCGAGATAGGAGCGGTCTCTCGGCTGATTTTTTGCTTTGAGTTGCGAGCTAAAATTCGGGTTACGAGCCAGCTTCAGATACCCCACCGCTAGTTGGCGCAGCGAACGTCACAGTGAATTCCACAACATCAGCCCAGCATCACGTGTCTCACTCGTTCACTGTTGATTTGACATACGAGTAATTTGAGTTACGAGCTCCATCACGGAACAAATTAAACTCCTAAGTCAAGGCCCCACTGTAGAACCTTCTAAGCACTGGCAGTTATATAAGCTTGTGACTCAGTCACAAAATAGTATCCAGAATCACAATACATCTAAGCCCACTAAATGCATTAAATATTTCATAGAACTGAACAGAGAAAGAAAAGATGTTACCTACAGTGGAGCTTACATCCTGAAGATGAGTCAACAGGTTACCTATAGCTGGAAGAGATACAAAGTAACAACTTTCACATTCTGAGCTAAAATTTTATTTTCAGCTTGATTCATTCTATGATACAGTTAAAACTTAAAATTGAAACGGAACATTTAAAGTATACAGAATTGATAATTTTTTGTAATTTTAAATAATGTTCCTCATCTTCCTAAGTTAAGTTAACCAGTAGTAAAAATTAGGCAAGTTGCCAAACTGATTCTTTGTTTTTCTTAATAACATACTTCAGGGGAAAAAAAACATTAAAAGAGAACAATTTTACAAAACAAGTGAATAATTTACATGTATATTTACCTGTATCAAAAATATTCTGTAAAGATGGAAATAAAGTTTTATTCTATGCAAGATAATGATATTAGTGGTACAAAATGTTCTTAATTTTCTTGGATTAAATATATGCGTTATTATATCAATATCAGTATTTCTTTTAAGTCAGAGGACATGATATTTTAAATCTTTAGTCCCATTAGTTACAGAATGGGTGCATTGAAGGTCTAGAGCAGTGGTTCTCAACCTTGGCTACACATTAGAATCACCTGAGAATCTTTTTAAAATCCTGATTTCTGGGCCTCATCCTCCAGAAATTCTGTTTCTTTGTTATGGGGTGGGGCCACAACATTAGTAACAAAGAAACAGAATTTCCGGAGGATGAGGTCCATAAATCAGGATTTTAAAAAGATTCCCAGGTGATTCTAATGTGCAGCCAAGGTTGAGAACCACTGGGCTAGAGCTTAATGGAAATGCAACATTGAGTGGGAGGACATAAGGGATAAATGGAGAGAACAAAAAAGCACTTAGAGTAGAACATGATACCGTTGTTTCCCCTGGGACTCATGGTATATGCTGCCTATTCATTTTTTTTTTAATGTGGAAAAATCTATAACATAAAATTTACCATTTACTCATTTTTGACATCAAGTATATTTACATTGTTGTTCAACCATCATCACTATTTCCAGACCTTTTCATCACCCCAAACAGAAACAATATACTTGTTCAGCAGTTACTCCCAATTTCCCTCTGTCCCCAGGCCCTGGTAACCTCTATTCTACTCTAAGAATTTGTCTCTTTTAGATACCTTATGTATGTGGATTCATGCAATATTTGTCCTTTTGTTTCTACCATCCTTGGTTCATGCATGCTTTGGCATGTATCAAAACTTCATTTTTGGCTGGATAATATCTCTGTGGATATATACTACATTTGATTAATTTATATGTCATTTATATGTCAGTAGACAAACCTATTATTCTGGCTATTGAATAATGATGATGTGAACATTTGTGTACAAGTATCTGTTTGAGACCCACAGCAACTGTTTTCAGTTCTTTTTGGTATATACCTAGGGATGGAATTGTTTGGTCGTATGGTAATCGCTAGTTTGTTTTTTTTAATCTTGAGTGTTGAAAAGTAAGTAATTCTGTTTGATTTCTGAGAAACCACCAATATGTAAACACTCTGGTCTTATATATTTATGCCCCCTCCCCTTTGTACTATTGTTTTAATATATTAAATCTTTGTACATTGCATGCTCATCAACATAGATTTATAATTATTATTTTATGCGTTTGATTTCTAAATTATACAGAAAGAAGTACAGGAGTTATAAACCGAAAGTACAATAACATTGGATTTTATATTTACCTATGTAGTTACCTTTATAATCACTTTTTATTTCTTTTTATGTCTTTGATTTATTGTTTAGTGTTCTTTCATTTCTGCTTATAGGGCCTCCTTTAGTATTTCTTGCAGGACAGAATTGCTAGCAATAAATGATCTGTTTTTAGTTTTATTTTGTTAATTTGGGATCGTCGTAGTTTCTCCTTTATTTTTGAAGGACGGTGTATTTTCTGGATATGGAATTCTTGGTTGAAAGTTTTAATTTTTTTTTTTTTATTTTAGGACTTCAGATACATTGTTCCCCTACCTTTCGGCTCCCATGGAACAAATTAGATATTAATTTTATTGGCAATCCCTTGAATGTAACAATTTATTTCCCTCTTACTGCTTTAAAAATTATTTTTCTTTATTTCTGACCACTTGATTAGAAAGCATCTAGTGTGAACCTGTTGGATATTCTGCTTATAGTTGATGAGCTTCTTGGATGTGTATATTTAATGTTTCATCAGATTTGGGTATATTTTTTTCTGTCCCTTTCCTTTTTTCCTGGGAATCTTGTGATGCACATGTTCGTATGCTTGATGGTATCCCACTCATCCCTCAGGCTCTGTTTATTTTTCTTTATTCTTTTTTCTTTCTGCTCCTCAAACTGGATCTTTTTAATTTCCTTATCTTCACATCACTAATCCTTTCTTCTGTATGCTCCAATCTGCTGTTGAGTCCCTTAAGTTAATTTTTCATTTCAGTTACTGTATTTGTCACCTCCAGAATTTCTGTTTCATTTCTTTTTATGACTTCTGTCTTTATTGATATTCTCATTCCATTCACACATTATTTTCCTGATTTCTTTAATTATTTGTGCATAGTTTCTTTTAGCGCATTGAGTATATTCAATTTAAGACAGTTGATTTAATCTTTTTGACTAGTAACTCCAAAGTGTGAGCCTCTTCAGGGGGAGTTTCTGTCAAATCCTTTTTTCCTGAGCATAGGCAATTCTTTTCTGGTTGTTTTTTGGTTTTGTTTTGCATACTTTGTAATTTTTGTTGTTGTTGAGAACTGGCATTTGAGTCTATTATAACCTGGAAATCTGATTCTTTCACTCCTTACAGACAGCTTATTTTTATTTGCTAAGGTCTATAGACATTTGTGACTTTTCTAAATACTTTTTGCAAAGTGTACTTTCCTTGTGTGTGGTCACTGAAGTTTGGGTTTTATTATCACTGGTGTCAGCCAGTGATCTGATTCCAAATTGCAGGGGAATTGTTTCTGTCTATTCAGATCTGATTGATGCCAGTAGTGAAAGCTGCTACAACCCAAAAGGGTAGAAACCAAGGCAAACATTTTCACTGTTCCTTCAGGGAATTGCCAAGCCAACCAAAATGTATAGCTTCAAATTTTAGAGAACGAAGTCCTCCTGCCTACCCTGGCATCAGCCAGCTCCTACAGGAACTATCCTCACAGTGATGCTGAGGAATGGAAAATGGTACCTGTTTTGTACATGCCATTCTCGTAACAGAGAACAGCAGTGACTTTCTTCATGAAACACTTACCTTGTTGTAAATATGCAGTCAGGTGCCAGAGTTCTGAAATAGTTTATTTAAATCACTCTTTCTAGCTCAGTGGTGGCATTGCTGAAGGACGAATCCCTGGAACTTCCTTCTCTGCCAATCTGTGTCAATCCTTACCTTCTTAATTCTTTGTTTCTTACTTTTTTCCTTTTCATATGTCTTTTGAAATCCCACACAAGTTCCCAATAGGTTGGTTGCAGGCTAATGCAATAATAATTAGAATTGTACCAAAGTCCAAAATAAACCAGGTTGACAAGAATTAATCAATTGTGAGTCTCTTATGAGTCAGACTTTAGCATGCATCAGACTTCATCACTTTGATTGAGTCTTCATTAAAGTGGAATGCATTATGTATTTAAATATAGAATTGTGAATAATGGGAGATTATTTTTACAGGTTTACTGTGGGTTTATAAGACTGAAAATGATTCCAAATTTTGCCAGTTATGAAGAGTGCACTTGGTTTATTATTGTTGTTGCACATGATTTAATGTCTTCATAGTATTTTTGTTAATTATTATGATAGAAAATAAAGCTTAAAAGTCATGTTATAGATTTAAGACCCCGAAAGTTGCTCAATTTAATGCTATGTGATGTCATTTATTGTTATATGATCTTTTTATTTAATTTTTATATTTAGTTCATAGTAACTATATATATTCACATTAAATTATAGTTGTTGTTTTTTTGTTAAGTTATTTTAGGAAGAGGGGTAGAAACTGGTACTATAACAGAACCACAATCAGAAATGTATCTATTCTATTTTATCACTTTTTGAGTTGTTAGTGCATGTTTAATAATTCTAATAAAATACTAAACATTTATACTTTTATTTTTTTAGAACCTTGTTAAATATCTTCCAGAGCAGAAGGTTCTCAATGAATTAGCGCAGCTGAAGAATGAGTATGATGACCTTTGTGAGCCTGAACAATTTGGAGCTGTGGTACGTATCTAGCACAAGGGCTCACAAACTCAACTTGGAGGTAACACTTATCAGAAAGATTGAAAAGAAAGACAGTTCAATTGTGGACTTTTGTTTTACTATATAGCTATATAATTAATATAATATTGGCTATCAAGCAAAAAACAAACAAACAAACAACCAAAAAAACCCAAACAAACAACCCTCCTTGTTTGTTATTTGTCATGGCATTGAAAAATAAAGAAATTAATATTTATTTTCTTTAAACATTTAATTATTTTAATTGTTTCTAGAGAGAAGAAGGAAGAGAATGAGAGAGAGAAATGTAGATGTGATAGAAAAACACAGATCAGTTGCCTCCTATACGGAACCCAAGCAACCCAACCGGGGATCCGACCCACAGCCTGGTTATGTGCCCTGACTGGGAATCAAACCTGCAACCATTTGTCTATGGGACAATGCTCCAACCAACTGAGCCACACTGGACAGGAATTAATATTTATATCTTATAAAATATTTCAAAATGTCTCATAGGAACTACTCCATACCAGTTCTGCTATTTAATTAGTATATGAAAATAGTATATGTATAATTATATTGGATATTTTTTTTTCTATTTGGATCTTAATGATAGAATTTTGCAACCCCCCCAAATTTAGGCTAATAAAAGGGTACTAATTACATAATTAACAACATTCTGGAATTTTTTGTGGTGGTATATATTATGTCAAAAAAAGCACAAGAATTTTTAGATTTCCTATAGAGTGTCATTAATTCACTAAAGGTTTTAAATACACTGTTTCAAGTGGGAAAAGAATCTCCTAAATACACATCATGCTTTAGTGAGGTTAAATCACTATTGAAATGTATTATGTTTACTTATCCCTTCTTTATTTTAAGGGGTACAAATGATGGATAGGTATACATTATGTATTAAAGAATACAGTTATATGTTTTAAGTACTCCCCAAATATGCTATTCAAATAATTGCCACCAAAAAAAAGGTAGGAAAGAGGGCATAATGATTTATTTAATTTCTCAGAGGAAGAGCTGTTTTTGATTTAGATGCACAATACAAGTTTGTTGGCTATAGGATTAAGCAGTTCTAGTACAGCTGCCAGCTTTCCCCTGCTCCCTGAACAGTTTCCATCTGCCTGCGAAGACTTCAAATTACCATCAGATCTAATAGCCCAACACAGTGTCAGCTTCATCCAAAATATTTTATAACCCTTTTATAGTCATATATCTGAATTGATCCGATTTGGTACTTTGCAATTTAAAAATCCTGTTTAAAGTCTCAATGTGATAGATGGGACAGAGAATGTTTCTTTTGAACATGTGCATTAACTGCTTGCCCTTATTTAGAGTTTATTAATTCTCAGATATGGTATTGCATACACTGATCTAGGAGGATTCTTTCAAATCCTTGGAAAGCAAATCAGGACTGTATATTTGGGATGGGATAGAACATGTAAATGTGCCTGAGGAAGATATTTCTCTCATTTTTGATTTAGGTAAATTATTCTGACCTGGCTAAATATTATTTATTAAATAGCAGCACTTTAGTGCAGTATTAAATACGGAAGTTTTCTAGACCAAAGTTCATACTTAAAACCTAAGCTGCTTGAATTCTTATTGTAATTGAAGCTAGGCTGTGTACCATCTGAGAATTCAGCTGTGTCAGACGGTGATGAGTTTTACAGTAGGTACACCACACAATTTCTCTGAAGCCATTTTTTTTCTGAATGTAGTTTATCTTGGAAGATGTATTAGTTTTCCAAGCAAGTCCTTCAAGAGGCATATCCTTGGTACCACACTGCTAAAATGAAGTTTGGGGACATAAAAAGCAATATACCTTCTGAACTTAAAGCAAAATAGAAAATGGAAGAGATTTCTTGTTTATGCACTTAACCCAAATAATCATCGCGATGTGTACACGAAGTCACCTGGTCCTCTTATTTACTCTCCCCATGCATAGCTACATGTCTGGAGGGAAAAACGTCAAGGACATTACAAAGTAGTTTGTGCTATGGGAATTTTCTAAGGCAGTATCAATCAGTATTTGCCAAATAAAGTCTAGATCATCTATATATATGTAAAAAGTCAGTGACCCGAATGCCATAACGACCAGTTGCTATGACGCCCGCTGCGGCCAGCCAACCAGCCCTATCGGGGGTGGGGCCAACCCCTCGTGGCCTTTCCCCCAGCCATCCCTGCCCCTGATAGGCCCCCACCACCCTGATGGGCCCACAGCCCCTCCCTCCAGCTGGCTCCACCCCTGATTGCCCCCCTTACACCAATGGGGAGAGGACCAGCGGCAAACCTCCTGCAGCACCTCCTCTTGCCCGGCCCCACCCCAGATTGGCCCTCCCACCCCAATCAGGGGCAGGGTTGGCAGGCCAACTGCCTGAGGCCACTCCCCCTGGCCGGCACCATCCCCAATAGGCCCCACCACCCCATCAGCTGGTGGCCCCTCCCCCCAGCCATCTCTGCCCTCGGTCAGCCCCCCCTACACCAATCGGGAGTGGAGCTGGCTTGCCAACCTCCCATGGCTGCCGATCCCCAATAGACCCTCCCACCCCATTTGGGGGAGGGGCCGGCTGGCCCACCATGCATGAATTCGTGCACTGGGCCTCTAGTCTTATATATTGTAAAAGGTATTTGAGATAATATTATGCCTCAGTCTTTTAAGCATGTATGCTTGGCAGTGATTAGGACAAGTCTTATATACAATAGACAACTGATAAATGCTTATAAAATTGAATTATAGGACAATTATTAAACCCAAGTGGAAGCCTGAGATTGAAAATAGCATATTTTAGATCTATAAAATTGAAAATTATGTTAAAATATATCTCTCCTGGTCTGTGCTGAAATTCAATTCACTTCTGTGTGGCTATACCCAAATACCCTTTAACCATCCAATTTGATCAAAAAGCTACATTTAGGACAACTTTGGAAATGTGTAGAATCATCTGCACTAATGAGAAGAGAGGCTTTTGATCTCTTCCCCCATGAAAGCGATTAGCGTAGTCTTCTTAAACTCTCTAGTCATTTTACGACATCTGTATCAAAAACCTTCAGTGTCCCCCAGAATTTACAGAATAAAACCCACTCTCCTTAGCATTCTCATCCCACCTCTTACTCTCTGGCTTTATATCTCCCTGTTCTCTTTGGTGCACTCACTGAATTGGTGTCTTTATGACATTTTAGCTTTTACCTCAGCAGGGCTCTCATTGCCATTTCAGCAGTTATTTTACTTGTTTCTATTCAGTGGTCTTTCATTTTTTATAGCAGCTCTATCATTTCTTACCTGCCCTCCTCAAGTCTTCTCCCTCCCCTCCGCATTCTTTTCACTTACTACAGGCAACCTAATCTCTTCCATGCACTTTGGCTTCAGAGCCTCCAATATCTCTTCTCCCTACAATGTTATCTCTACCTATGATGTCTTTTATTGACTTACTAGAGGCCCAGTGCATGAAATTTGCACACAAGTAGGGTCCCTAGCAGATGCTGGCTGCTGGCTGGGGCTTCCCATCTCAGGCTGCCGGCTGCCAGCTGGGGCCTTCCTTCATCCTGTGCCGCCCCCTGGTGGTCAGCACAATGTCCTAGCGAGTGATCAAACTCCAGGTCGGTTGAACTCTGGAGGGGACACTTTGCATATTAGGCTTTTGTATATATAGATTCTCTATCAAACCTCAGAAAGAGGGATATTTTATTTACTGTGACTACTATTGTTGTTATTAGCGATAGAAACAAAATGTATTGAGGAATTAGTGTAAGAGACCACGCTAAGCAAATTTCGCATAGAATCTCACAACTTCCTCACAACCCTATGAGATTCGTACTATTATTAACTCCACATTATGGATGATGAAACAGGCCAAGTAAGGCTGCGAAGCTTGTCCAAGGTTACACAGTAAGTAGTAGATTCGTAATTCAAACCTAGGAATCCTGACTTCATAGACAGAGCTTTTAACCACTGTGCTGTACTGGTGTTTGTGTGTGTCATTTGTGCATGTGTGTGAGTTGCTCTGCTAAGTGCTAATTTCCTTATCTCTGCTTGGGACATTATTATCCCCTGACTACTTTAGTTCTCTTGTTCTGTTGCCTGTTCAGTTTTTCAGTTTCCACCCTACTTTTCTCTCCAGAAAAAAAAAAAATATTCTTCAGTCACTCAGAACCAGAAAATGAATGAATGGATAGCTGGATAGATGTTTGAATAAAAATCCTTCATTGGCCCCAACGGTCCCTGATACTTACTTCCCCCTCTCCATTTCCTAGCACCAGGTTTTTTTTTTTTTCAAAGTTTAGCTCCTTTGACTCTCTACTTCCTTACCTTCAATGAACAGCATCAGAATTCTGCCTTAAATAATGCACTGAAACAGATCTATGAGAGTTCCTTCATTGCCTCCTAATTTCATCAGATCCACTCACTTCTCTCTCTATCTGTGTAATAAATTTACCACTGTAGGCCAAGCCAGCATCATCATTACCTTTAACCATTATGATATACTTTTAGCCTGTTTTCCTGCTTGCAATTTTGCACTTCTCCAAATCAGTCTCAGCAAAGCTGTCGATGTGACATTTTTAGAATGCATTTTTGTTGTATCTTCATACTATTTATCTACTTAACGCGTCGGTGATTTGGATGGCACTCAGGCTACAATATGAACTCCTTATCCCAACTTACCACCTCTCCTACTTTTATCTCCTGCTGTTTGCTTTCTTGCTCATTATGCCTCAGCCACGTTGTATTTCTCACTTTTTAAAAAATATATTTTATTGATTTTTTACAGAGAGGAAGGGAGAGAGATAGAGAGTTAGAAACATCGATGAGAGAGAAACATCGATCCGCTGCCTCCTGCACATCTCCTACTGGGGATGTGCCCGCAACCCAGGTACATGCCCTTGACCGGAATCGAACCTGGGACCTTTCAGTCCGCAGGCCAACGCTCTATCCACTGAGCCAAACAGGTTTCGGCATTTCTCACTTTTTAAAACTTGCCTGCTCTTTCCTG